GGCACTCACCTGTGCACAGAGCCGTGCACACCTGCTGGCACTCACCTGTGCACAGAGCCGTGCACACCTGCTGGCACTCACCTGTGCACAGAGCCATGCACACCTCTACCTGCCTACCAGGTGATACATTAGGACTTCCTGATAACCAGGCAATGATTTTGAGGACTAATAAAAATTCTCCCTGACTCTGCCTGGCCAATTGCTGGATTCAAGAAATACTACTCCAGCCAATCTCTTCCTCTGTCACAGGGAAGCCCTAAACCAACAGCAAGTCTCCATCCCTCTGATGTTTGTTGCAAATGGTCACCATTCACATTCAGATCAGAAGTAAGGAGCACTTGACCTGCATGGAGAACAAGAGCCCACTGGCTCAATGGTGACCTTACCCAATACTTGGGAGATTTGGGCTACGTTTTCTAGGGAGGCTACTCCTGCCGTGCCAGTCTGTGTGTGTGTGTGTGTGTGTGTGTGTGTGTGTGTGTGTGTGTGTGTGTTTCCATGGAATATCTTCATAAAGAAGATCCTGAGGGATTCAGAATATATCAAAAAGTCTCTTGCAGCCAGCAGCACCAGCTAGTGTGTGTGCTGTATAGCTTGGAAATATCTGGGTGGGATAATTCATAAACGAGTTGAGCTGAGCCCCCAGGAGCTGCACTGTCTCCTCGAGGTCCCCAGGAGGCAGTGCTTGGCTGAGCTTGGCGCTGGTCCAGGGAGGTCCATCTGCAGGACTCTCCCTCCACTGCAGTGCTGACCGTGTTGCCTTCCTGCAGCTCCTGAATGCTGTTTACACTCAGGCACCTGTCTTGGCCCCCATTTCTTTCTTGCATGCCTCAGTTACTCTGAGTTTGTTTTTGCTGTTGCCTGGCCTGGTGAGGCCGGAGCTGAGTGCTGTTTGGCAGCCACATGATGGTGGGAGTCCCTGCTAGGGCTGAGGAGCGAAGAAGTGATCACCAACAAATGGTGGGCACAGCCTCTGGGGGGTGTGGAAGGGAGGTGTAGCCATTCTGCACCCGGTGACGCTGCTCAGTGCCGGGCATCCGTGACCTCTGTCGTTTTCTCTTCTTAGAATCATCGACCAGCGGTTTGAGAAAGTTTCCTACTTTGTCTTTGGAGATTTCAACTTCCGCCTGGACTCCAAGTCTGTTGTAGAGGTAGGCATGGCTTCCCCTCCCCCTCCCCCCTCCTTGCTTTGTGGTGTAACACGCTGGGGAATGTACCTTTGCTGGCCGTGTCCGTGTTGGCCTTCTCACTGATGACCTGATAGGGGAACAGCTTTGTGGTTAGAAGAAAGAGGGACTGGGGTCCCTTAGCACCTCGTAGCTGGTCAGCCGAGCAGCCCTGTTTCCACAGATTGGTGGGCCACTCTCAGGACAGCTCAGGGCCTACAGAAGGCCTGGCAAACATCTGCCAGCTAGGCCTGCAGGACTTCTGTCCAGTGATGTTCTAACTGAATTTTGTTTTTTCCCCCTCGTTACACACGTAGAATTTATAAAAGCCCACTTTAAAATTTGTACTCACCTGTCTGCAGCTCCCAGAGATAAGCCCTGGGAGCAGCAGCCTGGCACTGATGTCAGGCCGGGTCTGATGTGGGTCAGGGTCAGGAGCTGTGGCCGAGCACTTGGCACTGTCTTGGCTTCCTCGGCCCTAGGACAGCAAGCTGGCTCTGGCCATACCCTTGTTCTTTTCTGGCTCTTGTGTAATGGGGTGCACCACCTTCCCTGCAGAGCAACAGGGGAGGGTCTTCAAAGTGAGATGTACGTACCCTTCACACTCCTACACACGGTGTGGAGCAGGCCCAGACCGGATGACTTCAGCCGGCCTCAGCCAACCTTCCCGTACTTGGCCTGCACCAGGTGGCTGACATGTTAGTTTTCCATCACTGGCAGAATATTACTTCTTTTTCTTTTGGAGGTCCTGGGGTTTGAACTGAGGGTCTTGCGTTCCACTCGCTGAACCACATCCCAGCCCTTTGGCCATTTTTCAGGTAGAGTCTCAGTTGTGCTTGCGCCAGCCTAAGAATGAAACCTCCCTTTTTGTGCCTTCCACAGAGATGAGATGGCAGGCACCTGCCAGCATGTCTGGCTTGTTGGTTGCGATGGAAATCCCTCCAAGTTTGTGTCCAGGATGGCCTGGACACGCGATCCTCGTGTTCTTCACCTTGGAATTACAGGTGTCAGTCACTACACCTGACAGAAAGTCTTCTTTCTTCTTTCTCAACCTCCCTCCCTCCCTCCCTTCCTTGCTTCCTTCCTTCCTTCCTTCCATCGTAGGACTTGAACTCAGGGCCTGCACTGTCCCTGAGGTCTTTTGCTCAAGGCAAGTGCTCTATCACTTGAGGCACAGCTCCACCTGTGGCTTTTTTGGTGGTGAATTGAAGATGAACGAGTCTCATGGACTTTCCTGCCCAGCTGGCATTGAACTGTGATCCTCAGATCTCAGCCTCCTGAGTAGCTAGGATGACAGGTGTGAGCCACAGACACCTAGCCAAAAAGCATTGAAGAGTAAGAGCTCAATAGGCTTTTGTCCCCTCTGGTTGACAGAATGAGTAAAGTGCTTTACAAGTATTTTTTTCTGTGTTTAAGCTGAGGACAATTTGTAAGTGTGTGTGTGTGTGTGTGTGTGTGTGTGTGTGTGTGTGTGTTTGTTTGGGCTCATATGTCTCCCTGATGGTGAGTGACACTCGGAGGGGAGGCTTGAGTCCTTCAGGGAAATCTTGTGGAGGGAGAGGCAGGGCCTGTGGAGGGACAGGTAGGGGCCTGTGGAGGGAGAGGCGGGGCCTGTGGAGGGAGAGGCGGGGCCTGTGGAGGGAGAGGCGGGGCCTGTGGAGGGAGAGGCGGGGCCTGTGGAGGGACAGGTAGGGGCCTGTGGAGGGAGAGGCGGGGCCTGTGGAGGGAGAGGCGGGGCCTGTGGAGGG